TATGTGATGTATTGGAACAAATTAGTTAAATTCATATTGAAACCCTTTAAAAAAGTATTGTTTTTATTGTTACCTTTCTCATACGTATTTTTAAAATGAGAATTCATGTTTCGTTCCAATCTATCTCATTTATATTCGAGAATTTTGTGAGACATAAATTAGATAGATTTTATATTCTCAATTTTTTTTGTTTTTTGTTATATTTCCGTTAAATCTCATCATAATTTAAGTTTATATTGTGTTAGTACAATCAACTTTTGTTTCATATTATTTTTAATAGATATATATTCATTATAAAACTATAATCTATTATTTTTTTTTATATTAGTTAGTATAATAAAAAATTAGTAAGTTTCTTATTTTCTTTTATTTTTAATCAATTTTATTTAGTTTCTAGATAAAAATATAAGAGAAGACCTTTCATATTTCTTTTTGAAAAAAAACTTATATACATATGACTAAATCTTAAAATTAAATGAGAAAATGGTATAAATTAACTCTAAAAACTAAATAATAAAATGATGTGGATGATGATTATAAAATATAAGAGAAGACCTTTCATATTTCTTTTTGGAAAAACTTATTTACATACGACTAAATCTTAAAATTAAATGAAAAAATAGTATAAATAAATTCTTAAAACTAAATAATAAAATGATGTGGATGATGATTAGGATGATGAGGTGGCTTAAAGAGAAGAGAGAAAAGTTAACTTTATATATATAGATTAAGTTGTGTAAATTAAGATATAACAATATTTCATATAAATTAAACAAGAATTGTTTAGCAAAATTAAATTCGAGTTTTAACAAATCTAGAATCCCCCCTCCCAAACGCTCTTTAACTTAACTTATGTCGTTTAATTTTTTTTTGTGCAACCTTATGTCGTTTATTAAGTGGTCGAATACACCTAAAATCCTCGAACATTTAGCTCACCTCGCCGCAAAGATCAAAGTATTATTTAAGCCTCCGATCAAGGTCCACAAACAAACCCCTCCACACACATACACATAAGGAAGAAGCGGTGAGACGCTATAAGTCTTTTTTACAAGACCAGCAACCGGATATTGAGGTACCTTCGGTAAACTTTATCTCGCAGTTGGTGTCTTTTCGGTGTGCTACTGGGGATGCTGCTCGGTTAGTACAGCATGTTACTGCCGAGGAGATACAGAAATCAGTCTTCACCATGCCTCTAAATAAAGCGCCAGGTCCAGATGGCTACACGGTTGAATTTTTCAAGGCCGCCTGGCCGATTGTGGGTCGGGATTTCATTATTGCGGTGCAATCATTTTTCCTGTTTGGTTTTATGCCGAAGGGGATTAACAGCACTATACTCACATTGATTCCAAAGATTACAAACCCTGATACCATGAAGGATTACCGACCGATAGCTTGCTGCAATCTTATTTATAAGGTAATTTCAAGGATCTTGGCTAGTCGTCTCAAACAGAATATGCCGGAGGCTATTGCGTTGAGTCAAAGTGCCTTTGTAAAGGGCCGTCTACTCCTGGAAAATGTTCTTTTAGCTACTGAATTGGTAAAAGACTACCACCAGCCATCGATCTCTACACGGTCTGCGATCAAATTAGATATTGCGAAAGCTTTTGACATAGTTAACTGGTCTTTTATCTCCTCTACTCTCCGTGCAATGAACTACCCGGAACAATTCAACTTCTGGATTTCCCTATGTGTCTCCACCGCATCTTTTTCTGTATCTGTAAATGGTGAGCTTGAGGGGTTCTTTACAAGCTCTAGGGGCTTGCGACAAGGTTGCTCACTTTCTCCCTACCTCTATGTCATTATGAGTAATGTCCTCTCTGGTTTACTAACTAAGGCAGTGATGGAAAAGCGTATAGGAATCCATCCGAAATGCAAGGAATTCAATCTTTCACATCTAAGTTTTGCAGATGACATATTGGTGTTCACAGATGGAACGCCTAAATCGCTTCATGCTACACTTGCAGTTTTTCAGATTTTGCGCATATGTGTGGGCTGAATATAAATGTCTCTAAGTCATCAATTTTTGCGGCGGGGAGAGGTAAACAAAGTCTTGAACATGCTGCCGTGATCTCTGGCCTAGAGGTATGTGAGTTACCGATTCGTTACCTTGGTCTACCGCTTACAACGAAGGCTATGATTAAAGTTGATTATGAACCGTTGATAGATAAGATTCGGAACAGATTGGGGGCATGGACCTCTAAATACCTTTCCTATGCGGGCAGAGCTCAACTCATCAAATCGGTCATATCTAGCATCACAAACTTTTGGTGTTCGGTTTTTACTCTCCCGAAAAAGTGCTTCAAGGAAACTGAAAGTATGTGTTCGGCTTTCCTTTGGAGTGGTTCCCCAAATATTCAAGGTAAAACAAAGGTAGCATGGGAAGATGTGTGTCTCCCTAAGGAAGAGGGTGGACTTGGGATTCGGAGAATGCACGAGGTTTCTCGGGTTTTTGGTCTAAGTTTGATTTGGAAAATAATTTCAGATTCCGGCTCTTTATGGGTTGCTTGGGGAGACAGCCAACCTTGTCTACTTTGTGGTGAACCCGACGAAACTCGGGACCATCTGTTTTTTGCCTGCCCTTATTCATTCATGGTGTGGATACAGGTTGTAGGTGACATGTTACATACGGACCCGGATCCTGACTGGACTGCGACTATCCATAGGTTAACCACACACCCATTCGTGAGGTATGACTACATTCTACTCCGTTTGTGTTTCCAAGCTACCATATACTATATATGGCGTGAACGGAATGAGAGAAGGCACAACAAGATCTATCGTGCACACTTACAACTAGCTCGTACGATTGAGAGGGTTATTCGGTCAAGGATCATGTCTTTGAGATACTTTGAGCATACGAGGCTCCGTGGTTTACTTCAACGGTGGTTCAGCTCAAGACCCAACCATTAGTAGCTCTTTGCTCTGTTTTAGTCCCGAGGCATTTTTATGTTTTTGAGTGTTTAATCTCTGTTCTGTTTTTGTTGTAAATAACGCTTTTTCTCCTCAATAAATTTCACATTTCATCAAAAAAAAAAAAAAAATTCATATTACAATTATTAGTTGAATCTTACAAAAATTCCTGGACTTTTCCTAACTTAAAAGCGTCAAGTTTACTTTAAAAAAATGTAAATATGATGATGTGTTGACTTAAACCATTTCACAAATAAAAAGTATGCGTTGACTTTTATTACAAATTGTTTAAATTTTAATTTAAATTATATCGGACATAAGAGAAGATAGCTAAAAAGATTTTAAAAGAATAATTAAATTACTAAACTCAAAAGTAACCAAGATTCATACAAACTTAGCACAAACCTTAAAAGAGGAAAATAGTTCAAAAGCAAAACATAACCTCCTAAGAAAAAGACTTACAAATACACACATATATGCAAAAATCAAAAAGTAATAAGAAAAGTATGTATA